TTTCGCGCATCCGACACGCACGATCTCCGCAGAGGGTCGCGACGGACAGAGACAAATCGCACTCTCGCCTGCATTTCGTGCGCTTGACACGCACGATCTCCGCAGAGGGTTGCGACGGACAAAGACAAATCGCACTCTCGATCTCCGCAGAGGGTTGCGTTTCGTGGCGGTCCGGCGGCACTGCCCCCGGCCTTAAGAGAGAAAGTTAAGAAGAGCGAGAGGTGAAGATGTGAGCTGTAGATGTGAGGATGTGAAGATGAGCAGAGATGTAGATGTGCAGATGTGAAGATGAGCAGAGATGTAGATGAGCTGAGATGAGCAGAGATGTAGATGTGTGAAGATGATGAAGATGAGCAGAGATGTAGATGTGCAGATGTGAAGATGAGCAGAGATCTAGGTGAGAATGTGGATGTGCAGAGGTGAAGATGTGAAGATGTAGATGATACGTAGATGATACGTAGTTCTGCAGATGATTTTTTACGAAGAACCCTTTGCAAACGCTCTCGGGAACAAATTAAGCTCGAAGAACCAATCATTGCTGAATTCGGAGCAAAGCAATGGGAAGGCAACTGAAGGCCATGTGAATCAAAGAGATGAGATTGCAGGAGTGAGGCTCTGAATCCGCAGCTGTCCAGCCTCAACCTTCGGTGTTTGCCCACCTGCTAGGGTATGCTTCAGCATCTGGGATGTCTCTGCCTGCACCTTGACGCAAGGTTTCTCGGATCAGTATGCAATACCTGAACCTGTTCGTCAAGGCACCGAAGTTTTGAGCGCTCCAACGCAAACCATTCAGCTATATAGCAATTCTGGAGCATCACAATCCCACAGGTTGTGCCTCCATGTAGAATCTTTCGGAGGTCAAAGCCTGTTGTGCTGCAGCAAAGGATTCTTCACCTTGGCTGCAAAGCCAAAAGGGTACACCACGACATCACCATAATTATTTCCCATGCCACGAGCTTCAAGGCACTTTTGCATTTCACAAAGGCTGAGCAGTGCCCCTCTAGTTTTTGCTGTGCCCCTTCAAGCATCTATAGGAATGATTGATACTGCCCTTGCCATCCTCGCCTTTGTCCGAGAGTTTGAAGACTGCCTTGAAGCCAGGCTCTGTCGTCCTAGGCTCAAAGCCATAACTAGCTTCTTTTTACTTGTAGCAATGTCCCTGCTACTAGTAGCTTCTGCAACCATGCTGCTGTAGTCTACGAACAATTGGTGCACCTGTTTGCCACGGCCTCAGCGCTAGGGGTGATTGAATTGTCCAAATAACACAGCAGGTGAGCACGGTGAGATGTCAAATTTCACAAACCTTGGTTTTGCTTGCAATTAAGTTTGCTTCTTGTGAATAAGCCTCGGTAAGCATGCACAACAATCAAATCTAGCACGCCCGTGCAACTATTAATTTCCAGAGCTTCTACCCCTGAACAAGGTGGTTAACACGGACAAAAAGGGGCAAAGCATCGGGCCATTACCTTCTTTGCGAACAAGTTTGGTCTGTGTGCGATTAGCAATCAGCGACTTGTTCATTTGCTGGTAGAAGTGGGAGCTCGCAGCTAGCAAAAGTATCGCCAGCTTTAGAAGTAGAGGCTAGCGACATGTTGCAGGTTTGCTGCTCAGGCATTTCCACACACTTGTTTAATTTGAGGGGCGTCGACAAATTCTGCCGGCTTTGCCACTAAAGAACAATTCCTAGCCAAGCAATGATCCAAAGTGGCTGTAGCAAAGATATAGTCAAGACTGCTATTTACTGCGAAAACAAGATGTCAAAAGCTGTTAGGGTTAGAGCGCGGCCAAGGTAGGGCATATGCTGCAAGCGTGTTTAGTAGGCAATTAAAGAATATTAGATACACATGTGGAAGAGGTCATCAAAGCCTGGCAGAACCCCTCAGCATCCGAAGCAGCTGAAAACAAGGAAAGCATGTGGATTTCTTTTCTTGTCTTACCAGGGTGGCTGTCTAGTTGGCGCATGAAACATGCTCACTTGCGAGCAAGCTTCCTTAATTGCAAGCAAAAGTCCTTAATTAAAAGCAAAAAGTCTTAATTACAAGCAACAATCCTTAATTACAAGCAGGTGTTTGCAATTAAGGATTTGTGTTTGTAATTTAGAAAGTTGTCCCCCAAGTTTGGTCGGAAACAAACTGTTGTCAAGCCTTTCTTTATGGTTCAGGGGAACATGTCTACAAAGATGTCCCCCAGTTCGGCCAGAAACACCTGGAAATTCAACACATTTTTGTCAATTTGGGTCAGACAACTTGCTTAATTACATGCATGTGCTTGTAATTAGGGATCGTTGCTTGTAATTAAGGATGTTTGCTTGTCATTAAGGATGGTTTGCTTGTAATTAAGGATGTTTGCTTGTAATTAAGCATGGTTTGCTTGTAATTAAGGATGTTAGCTTGTAGTTATATAAGGATTGAATTGCGGCTTGCAATAAACCATTTTGATGGCAATCAAACATGTCACATGTTCCAAGTGTTCTGATTTGTGTTTGTTGCAGAATTGTTAAAGGTAATCGGGACACCCCATCATAACATATGGCTTTTTTTCGTAGATATTGCTTTTTGGTCCAGCAAACCAACTGTTGTTGCCATGCATAACAACGCCGAAGTGCGAAGAACACAAAATACGGCAATTATGACACCAATGGTCAAATTCGAGGCAGGGGTCAACATCCTGCTATTTAAGTAGCCTCATGCTGATAGCGTCAACTGTTCAAACCGTTGTTGTCGTTCCGTCGTTGCGTGTTTTTTTTTGTGGGTTCTTGCATTTTTTTGTTTCATGATATTTGGCCGAGTTTGCTTGACTCATAGAAACCTGTTTATGCTCTTAGGACTTTACAATTTTCTGGCAGTTGAAACTGCCAGCGCAGGGTTTCCAAACCCAGCTCACAGTTCTGGTCCCTACAGTGGGATTCCTCATGCCCTTCTGATGAGTTTAGATCAGCTGCTCAATACTAATTATGAATAATCAATGTTTCAATTATGGAAGCTATTTGCCCCACATCGATGTATTATGCTCAAATCAACGCTCCACCTCCAAAACGGGAGACTGCTCGTTTGTACTTGAACGGTCATATGTGCAACATAGCCAATCCTTAATCACAAGCACCGATCCTTAATCACAGGGTTTGTGAAATTTGGCACGGTGAGCATTCGATTTGTGCTTCTGCTGGACTCTTCGTAGAGGCATGCGGGGAGGAGTGGTTCTCTTAGCAAATGTATGCTGCACAATCCAATCTAAGCGTCGATGCTGCTGGACCTTCCACACCTGTTTCCAAACCTTAGGCTGTGGCTCCAGAGTGACCTGCCCGTCCTCTGCATCTGGATACCAAATTTCATGTGCACACATGCATAGATATATACCCATTCCGATGTGGCCTATAAAATGGAAGAGCCGGAAACAACTAGGCGAGTGGCTGTAAGACAAATAAACAAATAACTTCTTCTTGCCCTGTAAGCCAAATCCCAGCTGTATGTGCGCCAAAGTCCTTGTTGTTGACGTCCAGCACATCAGCTCTGCTCAATCCTCACATTGAACAGGCCAGTCTGGCAATATTCAAGATTGATCAAAACTCATCTCTTTCTCAGCCAGTCTTGTGATACCAAAGACATCAAGACTCAAGGGCACTGAGAAATCCGGGCCAGTGTTGGTTGCTATGAGGGCTGCATAGCGTTGCGATAGGTCAGACCTAGACTGGCTCAAAGGAATGCAAAGGGGGGGTAGAGGACGCTACTAGGAGCAAAGGGCATCGCTACTAGGAGCCAAGGACGCTACTAGGGGCTCCTGGCCGTACTACTAGGAACAAGAAGCTATTAGAAACAAGAAAGACATAGAATTAAAAGTTGCTTGAGATGGATGATATGGTGCATGTTGCCATCAATTTGTACTACTGTACACATCCGTTTTTGAAGCTCGACTTGCGGAGGCAATGAATTAGATCTGCCTTTATGTGACAAAGGTGCAGTACCTGGCCTGATACTGCTGGGAACAAGGTTGAGATCAATGCCCTTCACCTCAAAACTCAGCATGAATGTCCCCTCATTCCTCTCTCGGCATTTTGCTGTCTCTGCATTGAACAACGCCTACATCCTTCAAGATGCATCTCATCCTTCTTATGAGTTCTATATGTATATATATATACATCTAGTGATTCTGGACAAGTGCACAATGCATCCTAGAAAGATATAGAAAGTCTGTGCGGCAATTCGGCCTAAACACGCGAAATTCCCGCTCCAAACTAGAAAAGCAACAGTTCGGCCAATGTCTGCCATGGCACCACCAAAGCTCCCACACCCATCACTGAAGCAGTCACGTGAGTCACTCCCTGGCACGTGAGCCACTGCCGAAGCAGGACATCTGGCTTTGTGAAACCTCTGTGCCTCGCCTCAGAGCTCTGAGCATGGCCTGCGACAGCCATAGTCCGGAGTCTGCTCAAAATACAAAAAGTATACCGAACCAAAATGCATCCTTCCAGTGCTCACTGGCGTTGGTTCACACGTACTTAATTGTCCCCAAAGGCAGGGGCCAGAAATGAACCTGTCTGTTTAACTTCCAAAAACAAGCTTTGTGGTAAACTTTCAAGTGCACCAGTGGCAAGCGGGAGAGCCACCTGGCTTGTTGAGTTCGCTTGCTGCAGATGGGCTTGGAGCAGATGGCCTGACAAAAAGACCTGCAAAGATGTGCGGAGTCCAGCAGAGTCCGGATAAACATGATATTAACAGCTAGAGGTATCTGTGTTCCATGGTGCAAAGAAAAGCATCAGCCAACCATGAATCAGTCTGTAACATCGATACATTTGTTCCCCAGCACCTTGTGTGGTTGCAGCTGCATGAGTTGTTGGCTCTGCTTCGGTGACCTCTGTGGTTGTGATAGTGGTTGTGGTAGCACTTGTCCTGAGTCAGTGTCAGGGTTGACAACACGTTTGTGTGTGTTCTTATTTTTTGATCGTGTGTATACAGTATTCGGTATACGTACAATATACCATTGATATAACTATATATATTACATATATATTTATAATATACACACTGGCTCAAGGCTCAAGTGGCCACGACTGAAAGCCTTTCCGGTCAGGTGCTCACTGCAAACGCTCCGTACGGTTCTGCACTGCAAGAGTCCTTTGGAAGAGTTGAAAACTATGCCAAATGAGGGACAGCCTACGGCAAAGCCTGCCCGTGTCACGCGCATGGCCTACATCGACCAGCTTTTGGCCCAGCAAGACATAGAGGATGCCAACACCCACAACCTGGTGCTAGATGAAGTATATGTACCTCCAGATGCAAAGCCTACGTGCTGTGCAGAGCAAGGAAATCCGTCTTCAAAGATTTCGTATCAGGGCCATACTTCTTTGGTCCGCTGGACGCTTACTTTTGGAGAGGCCACCCGACGCACAATGCACCGCGTGGGAAACATGGCCAAGTGCGCAGAGTGCGAGGCCAATGGACGTGTGGGGAATAACGGAGTCACCCTGAACAAAAAGCTCCGCCATGTGGAGTGCAGGTCAAAGATCGCTTGAGCATTGCTCAAAATCTATCGAGAATTTGTTCTAATGGGCTCTTCTTTCGCAAGTTCCTTTCACGACACTTTCGCGGCTAGCGTTTTGGCTTTTGCGCGCTGCATTCTGTGCAAAAACACTTTCGCAAGCTTTCGCGGACGGAACTGATTTCGCAAGCTTTTGCCAACTGTCGGGAGCTTTCGCAAGCTTTAGCCAATGAAAAGCGCGAACAATCTTTCGCGGATCTTTCGTGACTGCATGTTTTGCTTTCGCGAAGGCATAATACATTAACATCATTATTACTTGGGATGTTTTCCGCTGCTCACTTTCCTTTCACTGATATATATATATATACATATACACGGTGTGTGTATATGTTTTGAATACGCATATAACAATACAAACCTTCCTTGAACCGCTTCTCTAGTAACTAGCCACACACACACACACCATGACTAAATCACTCAGCTCCGCACGGTGGAGTGTATGAGGGAATCTCTTGAGTGGACCTCGTTTGGTCTTTAAGTCTGTGGTGCTATCCATTTCATCTTTGAGGCTTTGGTCTGGTGGCATTCGTATCTAGGGATCTGGCGATATGGCAGCATACCCCAGTTCCTGTAGATGCATGTAGAAATCAACTCACTCACTCCCATCCTTGTTAAACAGCCAAAGTTGATTCAACTTGTTCATGTCCAATGTCCCGAGATTTTGTGTGGTCACATCTTAGATTTGCACGTCTACTTGCCAGTTTCCGGGTTGCTCTGCAGCTTGACTATTACAGAGAAACAAGAAACTGTTTGACAGAAGTGAATGTGAAACACCTTATCTCTGGCATAGAATCTCAATGTCTCCTTCAAAGCCTTGCAGTGCATTCACTCGTTTCAAGGCTAATGTGTGCTTCAAATAGATACAAAATAAACCAAACCCAAATTGCTTTAAACCATCGCTCCTAGACCCTGGTGGCGCTTGGTCCGCTCCTTGCACTGATGCTGAATGTACTCTCCGTCAAGTACTTCCTTCGCCTGACCCAGAAAGGTCAAAGTGTTCAAGTGTATCTCCCTTTGGACGCCACTACGCAGTCACTATGCAATCTAGTGCAATCTCAGAGCTTGAGGGTTCTGTGATGGCTGAATGGCCCAATGCTCACACGTGTGGATCCCCTCACCAGAGTCAGACTCGATTCCCTGTTACTCTCATGATACAAAACTTTTGCGGCATAGAGTCAATAAGTTAGGTCCAAAGCACGATCTTACGTACAGCACCATGGTACGGTCTTGCGGCAATATCTGATATGAACAACAATGTAGGTGCGGAAAATCGGCTTTTGAAATGAGTGTTTGTTATAAACCTCAGCAGTGATACAGGCTGATCCGGGAGTCACTGCCTTGCTCATATTTCATAGTGTTTTCCAAGCAAACCGGCAAAAAAGCAAGCTTTGCATACAAATCACACGAATGGCGGAGAACCCAACCACTGAATGAACATCCATGTGATTGCAGGATGCTATGTGCAGCGTCCAAACAATCTTACACACCAGTCCCCACATCTCACACATAGATTAACCACATCAAAAAAGAACGGTACCAGCCAGGTCATGCAAGGTCCGGGTCTGTCGTTTCAATCATCAAAAGAAGAGAAAAATGGAGGAAGTATGAGAAAGTATGCACGATTCAGCCATCAGCCAACCAACTCCAAGTGGCCTCCCTGGCAAAGACTTGGAAACTGGCTGTGGTGAGTGGCACCTTAGACACTGACATTGCTAAAGTCGGCCAAAGAACATCGAGGCAAAGCTGGTGTCGGGGCTTTTCTGCCCATGCTACTTGCTACTGTCTATCAATACCGCTGAAGCAAGCTGGGTGATGTGCTGGCAATGCCTGGTAGGAAATGTCCTCCACATAACAGCCTATACAAAAAAAAAACTTAGAATGTCTCAAAATCTAGCGGAATGGTGCAGAATCCAAGCGTTCAAAAGAATCACATGAATGTGAATGTCTGTGTGTGGTTGTAGCGTGTTTGCCTTGGTGTTACTGCTTAGAACGGCGTTGCGTGAGGAGAAATCGCCCGTCTTCCACTCGGGCCTCTAGCTCGGCTGTACGTCCACCACCTTGGCAAAGTTCCATGAATATTCCTGAACGATTTTTTCCAACGCCTAGCCTAGGTCTGGCGGTGCCTTTGGTGGCCGTTGGCCCTAAACCTACTGTGTGATTAAAGTGGGCTATGAGGCTATGTGCAAAGAGAAACTGATAAACTTAAAGTAAAAAAAGGGTAAAGTATTTATCGCCGGGTCGTGCTTGGTGAGAAATGTAGAGTAGATGGAACATAGCTAAATACACAAAAAAGAAGTACTACTGCTCATTGTCATAGTATTAGTATTGCTGAAGTATTTGTGAAATTAAGGTCAGGAAATGCCATTCCACATAGTGCCCAGTTCACATGTTATACAGTGTCTAGTTCACAGTGTCTCCAGTTCACATAGAGTCTTCATTTCACATAGAGTATTCATTTCACATGGACCATTTAATTCACACATTGAATCCTGATTTCAATTGTAAAATGACTGCCTCAAATCCTCAAATGATGCCTATACCGATTCGAGTACAGATTTAATCGAACGAGGGGACGTACGCTCTTGCTTTTTGTATCAAAGTTTCAAGCATAGCTCTTCTATGGCTGCAAGAAGGGAGATTAGGTTGCAAACGATCATTCTCTTTGATGATGTCCCACGCGCGTTTCATTTTTTCCAGTGTCCAGTTTCTTCTCGGTCTTCGTACTCTTCCTTGAGCCGGAACTTTGGGAATAGCAGTGCTGGAACAAAAGGTGACTTGGTGTCGGGGATCTGAGCGATTCTGCGGATGATATGGCCCAGAAGCTTTAATCGTTTCATGTCCAGGATTTCAGACAATGGGTGTCAATCACTTCGTTAGCTCTGAGTTGTTCCTGATCCCTGATGACCATGTGTATTCATTGTATTTCATTATAGATGTATACAGTGCACAGAAAGTCTGTTTGTAAATCAACCATTCATTAAAGTCAAGGACTGAAGGCGATCTGCTTTGGCATGGTGACATCTTGAGACTGCCACTGGCATCCCAAGTCAGAATAGCAAATCGTCCGACAGGCTTGTACTCCGTCCTTGGTGAAATGGTCACGCCTGCACAATAGCCTGTTCCGTAATTAGGTTCGTTTTATTATCTTTCCAATGGATGCTGGATCTGTTTGTTCTGGCTACTTAAAATTGCTCTGCACACAATTCATTACCTTGTGGCCAACTTGTGGCTCTCTCGGGAAATGCCCAATGTAACAAATTCTGTGTCTCACACGTCGTGTTTGGCGAAATAGTTTTCGTCAAAGACATTCTTCAGGCCATCGATGTGAACCTTGGCCCGGATTCACCCAGCAAGGACAGATTCAGCCCATCTAACAAAGAATACTTCATGGAAAACGGGACCACTGAGCACTTGAACGACTCGAATGAGTTCCGTACGAAACTCAACTTTTTCAGCACTCTCACCTGAATCTGTATCAGAGAATCAGATGTCAATCAATCTATATATATATATACGCCTACTAGAATAAAACATTTGATAGATGACGAATGGAAGCCTGATCGTCTTGACCGCAGCCCAATTACAACTTGCCAGGCTTTCGATGGCTACTTTATATAGATGTTTCATTTCAATGGGCAATAATTTTTTCTGCGGCTTTCAGTCTGTGCATAAGCATTGAACACTGCGAAGTGAAAAACTTGGTCAACTTCGCTGTCAGCGCTTCTAAAATCAAAGAAACAGAAAGAATGGTCAAAAGGTCTAAAGAAAGAAGGCACAACCAGCCGTCAAGCTGAGCACCTCGCCTCTCCATGCATAATGCGCTGGGCCCTGTCCCGTTTCTTTGCTAGGAAGAGCAGCTGTTCTTTTGCAGTCTGAACTGGTATGCTTGGTGTGAAGGCCAGCAACTAATACTAGCTTCGAACCAAGCTTGCACAGGCAGCCTGACTGGCTTGAAGGACAAATCCTCAGTCCCATTGTCCAGAATTCGAGCGTAGCAATTGTAGCCAGGGCCTGAGCAAGGTTGTTGCTACATGATTCAACAATGACAATCCCAACACAAATAAACTCTTCCCAAAACCGATGTGGAAATCCTGGTCCTCCCAGCCCTCCCAATCCATCCCTACGGCTCCAGTATCTTTGTCAAGTCCTGACAACCCAAGCTGCTCCAAAATGTCTGATAGCAAAGCGTCTGCTTTGGGTTTTTCTGCTCCACCTCCTCAGAATCGTCAACGCTCCAGGAATCGACTCGCAAAATCTGACGGGTGAGGGATCCAAAAAACGAATAGCGTCAATAAGACATATTCGAGGGGGATCAAAAAGGAAAAGAAAGGTATCAAATAATATCCCAGTGAACAGTCAGGAAAAAGAGACTGAGGAAAGGACAACAGCAGCAGGGCGGGCGACCAAGGACCATGAAAACATGTTTGCAACACATATTTAAAAACTTAAGCGAGAGCATGTATTATTTGGCGGCCCAGTGCATAGGCAAAAGCAATTCAGGCTTCGTGGCCCTGGAGGGGGGTAGGAGCAAAGGACGCTACTAGGAGCTTCTTGTGACTACTAGTAAGGCACTTGTTACTAGAAGCGATGCACTTGTTCCTAGAAGCTTCTTGTTTCTAATATATAGTAAGGCACTTGTTACTAGAAGCAACCAGACTCTGAGGGCACCACAAAATGCATCGAAAACTACACACCCTAATGCCCCATCAATGAAAACCTGCTCCACCACAGGACAATGAAAGCACAAAATCGAACATACTTAGGCGAGTGCTATATTTTGTGTGAGTATGCGATGGGTGCCTGGTGGCCATTTGAAAATCTGTCGTGGTAGGCGCGGCGCATTGGCAAAAGTGTTTCAGATTTCTTGGCGCTGGAGGGTGGTTGGGGGGAGGGCGCAGCGCCTCCCCCCCCAAGAGCGAACCAAGCATCAAAAGCCATCATCATCGAAAACACCACACCCCATGGCCTCATGAATGATGGGTGCTCAGAAAGTGACGCGAGGACCAAGGCAACCGGGCAGCGTTTTGTGTTCGCAAACCTCGTGTTTTTGACCAATGGACCACGATGCCAGCGGACCGGGACAAGGACCAGGAAAGGGACCAGGGGACCAAAGGAAAGGAGGGGACCAAAGGACGAGGGGATGAAAGGACCACAGGACCAAAGGACGGCACCAACAAACTAGGTCACCAAAGGACCACGGGAGCAAAGGACCCTGTTCTGCCTCTCTTTTGATCTAGATGCCAAATCTGACCCAGCAAACAAAGGCAATGGACGCACATGGCTCCAAGACTGCTCTGCATGGCCAAAACAAATCCTGCTGGAAATCTGGATGTGGATATTCTGATCCCCCGCTGTGCGCCTGCCAAACGGAGCAAGCGATCTGCTTCTCACACCAACTTTGGCAGGTCTCTCCGTACGGCACCAGGACCTGATGATGGCACCCAGACTCTCATGTTTCTCATCCAGCGGTTAAATAGATCTACAGTAGATGTTTTTCTGTCACTGGCGTTTTAAAGATCTGACACACAATCTCTCTAGGCACCAAGCTTCCCGGAGGCCCAAACATTTACCAGGCCATCCAGTTGCAGTGTCCTGAAAGATGCTTGTCGCCAACAAATGTCCAAGCAAGCTGGCTTATATTTGTAGTCTCTCTTGAATCTGCTCGCAGTTCCACCATAAACAGGACCCTCAACCAGGAGAACGAGATGTCAGCACATCTCCTTTACTGAAGGCCAACCACATACCATGCAAGCAATCATGTTTGGACAACCTGCAACGAGACTCCCAATATATAATGTTTAGAAGGCTTGGAGTACTTGCTGCAGAAATCAAATGAGACTGGGGCTGTGGACCGTGGCTCATAGTATCGAAAAGGCGCCGAAAAGCACCAGCAAAACCTTCATCAGTATCTATGACAATCTGTTCTAAGATCCAAAGATGGAACTAGTGTCGAGCAGCCTCCCAAAGGCCACAACTGTACGGAGAGCACCGTGTGGGGAAAAATCACTGTGGTTGAAGGCTTCAGGAAGCGAAGAACAATTGAATACCAAAATCCCGGAGCAGGTCCTCAACCACTGTCATTGTAGGGCAGGACTTGTACCGTTTCCCTGCGATGCATGAGAACATGGAAGAACATGGAAGAACTGTAGAACTTTGCCAGCACTGATCAATTTCAATACAAAGTTCCAAAAAGCCATATCTCACACACGGGAGTTGATTCCAGGATTCCAAAGAAAACTGAAAAAGGTACATAAAAAGTGGATCAAAAGGCAAATGAAGCAGGCAAAAATGATGATCCCGGGAACAAGCATTGTGCACACAAAGAAATACAAAAGGCAAACAAAAGGCAACCTTTGATTATTTCTTTTTTGTGTGTGTCCGCGATCTTTTGTTCCTGGGATCACCTTCTATTTGCCTTTTGGATTCGTCCTTATTCTTCCTTTGCCTTTTTGATTCACGCTTGATTTCAAGATTTCCAGTTTTTGCAGATTGTTGGTTAATTTTGAGACCCTGCGCTCTCCGATGAACGTTTTGTAGAAACCACCTTAACTGAAAAGAACAAGCAAAGCGCGACTGGCACATCTGAAATTGACACCTATGGCCTATGGGCCTATGGCCTTTCAGACTTGCTGCGAAACCGAGAAAAGTCTGAAAAGTCCCAGACTTCGAAGACTTCGTGTCTGCGTGTTCCCGCTTCGAGGTTCAGAAAAACACGGAGGCTGCACAGGGGCCTATGAAATCTTTCGGCCAGCACCTCAAAGGCACAGGGAGCTGCTTGCTCCAGACTTGGCGTGGATCAAACCTCTCACAACTTCATGGCATCAGTTGCAGACTTCTGGGTCTCCAGGCGACAGCTTAGGGGGTGTCATGTGCATAGGCCAAGCCTTGATTGATATGTCTGATCTTTGGACAGTGAATCTGATTCGTTGGGTCTCGACGCAAATTACCCAGGAAACGTATCCAAACAATTCATCGTCCTCCCAAAAGCATACAAGTAAATGTCAGCAAGTGCAAGCACAAAATTGGTCTAGCACAGTCAGGGAAATAGGCACACGTGGCTGGGCAAATGCTTGGCCTCCCTTCCATCTTCGACATCTCTGGACTTGCTGCGGGATACGCAGCTGTGGGACTCAGTACAAGAGGCAAAATGCAGAAATCGATAGCAAAGTGGAACTTCGGATACTTAGAACGTTTACATCCGTCAGTTCGGTGCCTGCCCCTGTCTCTATGGTGGGAGAAGCGTGCAAAGTCAACACGTTTGATCTTATAGGCAGGTGTGTGATTTGGCGCTTACAGAGGGGTTGTTTCGATTTACATAAAGGCAATGGATGTTTGTTAAAAATATATGTGAGAATCATGAGAAAGGTAGATTCTCGTGCTGATTCGGATGGATCAAGACGCCGGTACCCTAACAAACCAAAAGTGAGGCAAAACCCGAACATGTCAAAGGTGTTGACAAAGCCCTGTAGCCTCTTTATGCATTGCATTATGAAGCTAAAAACAATTAACAACATGTCACGGTAACTGATGATGCGCTCTGCGAACGGAAACCCAGGCTCAAATACAAAATTATACAAACAGCCTAGAGTCCTAGAGATGCAACGGGGTCGTGTGTCTTTTTGACGCAGCTACCCCGTGTTAGTGCATTCAAGCTTTGGACCTGGTCAGCTCCGAGTCTCAAGCATCTCTGTGCAAACAGTAGGTATCTCAGGACCTGGCATGCATGATTGTTTGAGGTGTCTCTCCTTTCTTTTTTTGGCCGACCTCCCCCCTAATGCCTCCAACCTGGTCCAACCTATGATTTTTCCAGGTGTCGTCTTCTTTCCGTCTTTTTGAACGAAAACAACGATGAAACATCAACTTGCATTCACATTCACCAAGTGGGCAAGGAAACCATTGTCATCATGGAATCATGGAAGCCAGAAAGTGCTGATTCCTTCTTTCTCAGTTCGACTGTCCGAGCCCCCTGCAGACAGCTGGGCCAGTGTAGGCGCCCTCCGACAAATATGCGGTGAAAGCCTTGGTCTTTGGGAGGTACTTTCCGCACGGCCGCAAGTAGCGGACTTTCTCGCTTCAAAAAGGGGCTCCGGTCGTACACTTCTTGATTTGTGCATTTCTGCACCGGCACTCCCCCTCCGTCGTTACGACGGATCCTGGTGCCCTTCTGAAGACATTCAAAATCCCTCTTTCGAGGGCCAGCTCAAACCCCCTTTCTTTTAAGGGCAGGTGAGTCGACCTACGGACTTCCCTCAGATCGCAGATCACCATCTTCTTTTTCCCCACCGCCGCCCATGCAATGGTCAGCCTCCACTGACTCCACGTCTCCTCTCGTACTTCTGCCTCCTGGAGTTGGGGTGTTCCCTGATGGCCACCCTCTTTCCCTCGGCGTTCGATTTCACATCCACCCAAGTGTCTTTTCGGGTGTTCTGATGTGGTGGCTTGTTCACTTCGTTCTTGATCCCACCCAAGAGGAACTCCTTCTGAAAGGACGGAAGCCTGAGGAATTCCTCCATGGTGGCCCCCTCGCTAATCTCCCAGACTCCAAGCTGCAGACCTTCTGGGGTCCGGGCCATGAGGAGCTCGAAGGTTCTCTTGTCTTCCTGTGCTTCCCTCGCAGCCTTGGAGTCCAGTCGAGGTCGAATCACCTCTTCAAACGCCTCATCACTCCCAGCCGGTCTGGCTCTCCGCTCTTCCGGCGTTGATGCCACTCCACTGGTAGTACTGGCCGTAGATTCTTCCTGGCTCCGGCTGGGTTCTACTCCAACGATTCGGACTCCTGTTCCATCCATCGCCACCGGGCCGAGGTCCTCTTTTTTGCCATCATGCGATCCCACGCCGCAGGCTTCATACCCAAGTCTTCCCTTCGCTCCTTCTCCTTTTCGAAGTCGTAGGGTTCCCGTTGACATAGGTCTGGATCGTGCCCACGAGGACGTTCCGAACGTCGTTCAACTTCTCGTTGATGAGATTCCGTCCCAATCGTTTGTCCATGTCGTGGAGGAGTCTGTGCGCTAGCCTCCTCAACCATCTTGTTCCTCGCTCAGCCCATGGGTACAACTCTTCATGGGCCGAGTACCCAAATCCTCGAATCCCTCGCCGAGAGGTCTCGCTCAACTCCTCCACACAGCTCACATCCAGTTCCAGGATCTTCTCAACGACGTTCTGGGCCACCCTGTCTCCTTTGTAGATTCTGAGGTCGACATCAGAGTGGTTGCGCAGGAGCACCTTAACTTCCCCACGAAAGTCCCTGTCCACCACCCCGGCTCCAGTCTCGATCCCTCTGATCGCCAGCGATGAACGTGGGGCAATCCTGCCATAGCTTCCCGGCGGAAGCTCCAAGGCAATCCAGTCTTCATCAGGACGCTGTCTCCTGGGGGCACCATCGTCTCGATGATGGAGTAGAGGTCCAGTCCCGCTGCACGCTCCGATCCTCTGGTTGGAATCTTGGCCTCCGGCGATAGGAGCTTCACCTTGAGCTTCTCCTTCGGAGTGAACCACCTCTGAACTCCAGCGGTTCCCATCCTGAACACAATGTCCCCGATGATCGCAATGGCCGCTGTGATGAGGACCACGATCCACCACTCGCTACTTCCTCCCTCGCTCGAGGTGCCCGCGTAAACATGCTGGCTGCTGCCACCAGAACTCCAAGTCCTCGAGTCAAACGTGGGTCTGGAGTCCCACCTCCCAAGTCGATCTTCTTCATGTCGATCGTGATGTCCTCGCCGACCTTGGTCATCTCAAGGGACTTCTTGAAGTTCTTCAATGGTTGACCCGTCAGCTGCTTGGTCATCCCATCAGCTACCAACTCTTTCCCGACACATGACTCAGGGACACCTCCTTGGCTCTCAATGCCTCAGCCAGTCCAGCTGCTCTGATCCTCAAGTGTCTGGTTCGCCATGACGATGTCGTTCCAGCCGCGATGGCTATGGCAGCTGTAGAGTCGGAGTTCAGCCGCAGTTCAACTTCTCCTCCAAACACGGCTTCCAGTAGAGCCCCAATCGATCTCGCCACGACCAGGCTCTCCAAGAGGGACATCAGCTCGGCCTCTGCTGTCGACAAAGTGACAAATGCTTGCCGTGAGGTCTGCCACATGATTGGGGTCCCATCGATGCTGGCCACGATCCCGGTAAGGCTTCTGAGTTCCGATGATGCGTACGAAGCATCCGAGTACACATCAACTCTCTTCAGCTTGTCTCGGATCGTTTCCCCTCCTTCAGTCCTCTGATGACAAGTCCATCGTCCCTGGTTTCTCTCAGGTGAGGCTCTGCCTCCCAATGGCCGCAGCCCCCTTTGGTCTCTTCGTCGTCCACTGGCACACAGTGTTGACAGCCATGCTGATGTCCGGCCTTGTTCTCCCAGCCACCCACAGGAGCTCTGCGGTTTCCTTCTGTGCTCGTGCCACATCCTCTGCACCTGGGGCTCCCTCTTCTTCCGGGGTCTTGATCTGTCCCAGGGCCGGCCTTCCAGTCTCCTCGTACTCCAAGAATAGGTTCTCCCTCATGTCCATTCCCATGTCCTCCGCCATGGATGGCTCCGCCGTGGAAGATGCCGTCGGCGCCGACGGCAATGAAGTGGCGCGCATTGCCCTCAACATCACCTCGTCCTTCAGGGTCTGGCTCCAAAACGGGTTGACCTCGACCAATGGGGCACCCCCCTGGCCTTTCCCATCCTTCTTCCTTGACTCTTCCCGGGTTCTCTCGGGCCCATAGGTCGTAGGTCTCCCCGACGGCGCAGCTGGGACCACCTCCAACCCGGTGGATTTGCGGTCCATCAGAGCCAGCTGCTCTTCCTCACGGGCGCTCGCCATCGAGTCACCCGATCCATCCGGCGTGCCGCTGCCCATGGCGGCCAGCTACCCCCAAAAGGGAGGTGGACTTCCTAACGGGAGTTTGGGCTCATAACCGGCACGGCCGCAAGTAGCGGACTTTCTCGCTTCAAAAAGGGCTCCGGTCGTACACTTCTTGATTTGTGCACTGTCGCTCCTAAACTCAAACTTGGTACACTTCTTGATTTGTGCATTTCTGCACCGGCACTTTCAACCCCCAACAGGTTGGAGGCCATCGCTAGTAGGTTGGAGGCCATTACTACTGGTAACAAATAGCTATTAGTAGCTTCTTGCTACTATAGTAGTAATGCACTTGTTACTAGTAGCCATATCAGGCCAAACTGCCAAACCCTGTTGGGTCTGTCAAATGGGCCCTCTGGTATTTGACTCAGGTATTACTCCGTGTGTGCAGCCTGTGATGGTCTTGCACCACGGTCCGTTGTCAGTCTTCTTTCGAGCCTGGCGTTTGAAAATTTGAGCATGCTTTCCTTGGGTTTTTGTTGGTGTCTGTCTACCTGACAGTTTCTCTGCCTCTGCAGATGTCCATGCCAATTCATTGCTTTGGCCTGTGAACGTTCCTTCAAGATGCTTTGTTGATCCTCACATGTGTTTTTTCGATCTTGTTGTTTTCGAATGAGGCCCGACCTGAAGGGTAGCCAAAGCCACAAAGCCTCAGCCTGTGAGCAGTTCTGGGGACCTGTGAGCTTCAAACATGAAAACGCCTCAAAACTTAGTCTTTTCTGATTCCTGTCTCTTTCTTTTGTTAGTGCAGAGTGTGGTACTGAAGCTTTAGTTGCTAGTTGTTGTTCAGATGTTGAGGGATCAACAGCCCCTTCCTCGCCATCTGTGCCAGTGCACCTTTCTGCAAGCAGTGCAGCAGTAGCACGGGGTAGTCTTGCTGAAAGAACTATACAGTATATTATATAGATGCAGTGATGCCATTAACGCCCAGACAGTGTTCTTTTTGGTAGTAGCAGAAAGGGGTAGTTTTGTCCAAGACCATTCACCGTGGCATGAGATGACCTGCGCTTTTGCACAAGGTCCGATGGTCAGCGAGTCTTTCTCTGTTACCTGTTTACATGTACAGTATGTATAAGGCAACGATTCTGTTTGCCTCTTCAAACCTCTAGGTTGAAAGCAAAAGACACTTCCAGACACAATAAGTTTGTTGAACAAAATGACATGACATGGTGACTTTTTTGCAACTTGATCTCCTTGCTTGCAAGTCCGAGGCAATGACTGCATCAGCAGGCGCCAAATAGCAAACACCCGTCGATGGCCAAAAACCAAAATACAAACACTTGATCTCCGAGGTTGAGACCTCAGCCACAAGCGCCATCAACAAGGTGCCTTTCTACCTTGAGTCTTTAAGCAACTTGAGTGGAAACCTTGACGGTTTCTCTATCACTCCCCCTACATTCTATTGTTGATATTAGTATATATATATATTATATAACCTCTCAATATCTCTCGATTAAAAAGTTTGAACAGCAGTCTTGACATGTACAGTGCATACTGCAATCCCTTGGGCTCCCGGCACATTTCTTTTGACATTCGTAAATGGTTGTTGCATTAGTTCGTTGTGAAAACGGCGAGAAGTACCTCTGCACTCAAAGCAACCACAGTGCCTTCCGAAGCACTCTTGAGCAAGTCCCCGCTCTGCCATTGAGCAAATCAATAACTACCCTACTAAATTTGCCCTTGACACAATATCTATGCTTAAGCCCTTCCACCTTGCGTTCTTGTAAAAGCAGCCATCGATCAGCTCGGCTTGAGGAAACCTTGCCACATTAGCCTGTCAAAGTAGAGGTGCAAGACCGGGAAGTTCATGTTCGGTGGCCACCATCAGAATGCTCACATTGTTGAAAGCATGCTGTACAGGTTTCGGCCGCAAGCCATCATGATCAGGCTGTCGGTCATTTACAGTATTGCTTCCTTATGCCTCTTCCCCCTCTCCCCTGCACCTGTCAGCAAGGTAGCTTCTCACTTTGTGCTTGTGTGTTTGCACGCTCTGCTATCATGATCGCGTGAAAGGGAAAAGTACAATGGCAACTTCGATCCAGTATCTTCACGCCTTGGTCGAACCATCGCCATCAAGCGCAAGCACCTTGTACAACAACAAATCGGGGCTCGTGGAGCGAAGGGCTCATACTCCCACCTATTTAGTAGCGAAACATGACCCTGTTTGTATTCTGGGAGGAAATAGAACAATCAGGCACAACCTATTCAACACGGAGCCGGGAGAAACCAGCATCCTATCCTAAAGAGCCAGCACTTGCACAAAGAACACAGAGCGTAGCGTGGTGATGCCCAGCCCAGTTGTCTGTTACTGTATATACTGTCATCATGTTATCACTCCTGCTGATGAATGAAAGCAGCAACAGGCGGCGTATACTTTGATCAGTGCAGTTGCCAGTCTGGATCTTGCTTATTGTCATGTTGCCATGTAGCAATCGCTGCTGATCAGTGTGCTTGCTTCCTGGGCATTGTCCTTTTTCTGATTCTGCGACACGCTCTTTGGCTCGGCTGTTTTGTTCGGGTAGCCGTGAATCATTGAGTGCATTATCAACTTTGTGATCAATCATGTCATGTCATGTCATTTCTTGCCCTTGCTTGTCTTCGGGCATTCATCCCGTTCATCTTGCATGCTATTACATGGTATTACCGTTGCAGTATACACACAAGCAAAACCACTCATAAGCCAAAAAGAGAAAAGCATACAACAAAACCGACCAGGCCCCGCTCGCCTCAACGGATGTGAAAATCAAAAGCGCCCATCGCAACATCGCTACAACAGCTCTGCAGCTTATGAAAGACCTAGGGCCTAGGGCAGACCTAAGCAGAGCTTCTTGGACTCTTATGATGACTTGTGACTTGCATATAGACAGGTAGCACATGGTAGCACGGTCCTGTCAGGAGTCCTTTCACACGCTTTCAGTAAGTTTCATGAGTGAGTGACGCAGTGCCCACAGTTGGACCACATTTGCGGCTAAGGTTGGATCACTATGGTATCTTCCCTCTGCTATAGGACACAAGAGGATTCTACGGAGCTGCAAAGTATTGTTTTATCTCCCCTCGAGCTTGCGTGACATTGCTTGCATTCGCAATCCATCTTGCGTTGCCAAAAGAGCAGCGGCCACACCATGAAACAAGTGCTCAAAATGTTGTCATGTCCTTTCCAGGCTTCTTAAAGCATAATCATACAGACTGTCCAAATGTGATATAGATTATAAACCTTCCAAATGAGGGAAAGCTCCAAAATCAAATGCCTCACAGCCTTTTCTTGTTGCAACATCTTGCTGTTGCTAAGTCTTGGTCGCCCAGAACAAGGAAACCTAACAAAGCACAGAAGCAAATGCAGAAATGCTCCTTGCTCATGTCATCTTCACTGACTTGGCTCCCATTTCTTCACAGCAGACTCTGAACGCACAGGATTTTCACTCTGACTCAAATGGCGTGACATATATAATTCAACAACCAGCTGGAGCAAATGTCCAAAACAGCGAGCAACAAAGCCAACGCATGCAACGAGCACGCTGTTCGAACAGCAACTCCATCGATAAGAAGCGGTATGCAAGGTCGCCTTTGGCGTTCGCATCCGAAATTGCTCCTACTCCTACTCAAAAATTGAGCTGCCAAGGAATTCACAAGCAATGCTGGTGGGTAGCAACGTGTACTTCGAGGTCTCCCATGGAGTGGCCCAGCTCAAATAGTTGGCCAACTCTCTTTTGCGCCATTGCACATCTGCATCATCACTTTGAGCGTTCTCAACATCAGTGCCCACCACAGCCCGTAGGGCAGGAATCTCGTAATGCAGCGTGGAGTCGAAAATCACATCCGCGCTTTGCCTTACTCGGGCAAAGGTTAAACTCTACATATCTCTACAAGATTGAAGATTGCTAGTGCAGGATCACACACACAAAGTACAAACAAGCTGTTCGCGCATTTTTTTGGGGGTATAGTCTTAGTACTGTTTGCGTCCAAGTTACGCGAAGGGGAAAATGTTCAGCTGCTCTCCGGCTGAGACTGAAGTGAACTTCTGCATGACTCGGGCTGCATCAACGCCCCGTGAGCGCACATCTCGACCAATGCGCCGCAACAGGCGAAACTTCCTCTCCGGCATGATGCACAAGTTTCCTAAGCGGGCACCGGACCAAGGTCCAATGAGCACTTTGAAGAGGGAGACATTGCCGAATGCTGCCAGGAATTTGGGATGCAACCCAAAGATCCCTTCAATCACGAGTACAGCTTGCTTTGGCAGCTGCAGGACATTACCGGTCTTCTCCTGGATCGTCCCAGTCTTGAAGCAGAACTTGGGCAGCTCTACTGGCTTTCCAGCCAACAGTGCCTCCAAGTCTCCCTTGATTTTTTCAATGCGGAGAGACTCAGGATCTTCAAAGTTAAGCTCTCCCTTTGCATCTCGTGGATGTGTGGGATCCGCACGTGCTTTGAAATACATGTCACACTCCAAAGGCGTCGCTTCGATGCCACGTGCTTGGAGATGCAAGGCCAAACGTGCACTGAAAGTGGTCTTGCCACTTGAAGATGGCCCTGCCACTACAACGGCACAAGACTTCTCCCTTGCTGCGGCTGCAATGCGGCTACTAAGCTCAGCCAAAGTATTGTTCTGCAGGGTCTCAGCCTGCAGAGCCATGTTTGTCTGGTGGCCAGCTGCAGCCGCATCATTGCACTCCTGCACACCAACTTGCAAAGGCAGTGCATCTCCAAGCTTTCCAAAGCGGCCAGGCACCAAAGCATCCAAAGCCACCGTAGGCCCAACGATTTGGAAGTAACCGGCCTTTTGTGTCGAGCGAATCTCCCAGGGCACACCTCTCAGCGAGCTGGGGAGCGCCACAGGCTGTGCCGCCACTGTGCGGAAGACATTGCCATTTGGAAAGCGAACCATGTGAAGCCCCAACGAGCCACTCTCAATGGACTCGGCAAAAGCAGCGCATCCAGTGAAGTTCTCTGCAAGAAGTTGCAGGGCCTCCTCCTTCGACAAAACGGCCAACTCAACGGAAGAACTTTGGATAAGCCCCTTCACTCTCTCAGACAGTGCTGATGCCAATGCAGCAGATTCGCTAAGTGGCTGTTCCTTCGCGCAGAGCACGGAAAAGCCCAAGCACGCCTCAGGCGTCGAGGGTACCTCTTCCACTCGCATTTCACCCCTAGAGCCTTTGAGCTGCCAGGATGCTGCAGCCGTGAGAAGCACTAGGGTCTGCAAGGCCAACTCAGCTTGCCCATCTGCAGGTGCAGCTGTGAGGGGCAGTGGAGTCATGGAAGCGCCAGGTGCCTTCGTGTCCACTGACCACAACCAATCCACGATGTTCGAGTAAGGCACAGGGCTATCTCCTGTTACACCTGCGAGGGCAAAAAGCTGTTCCACACAGATTGCCGAGCAACCTGCCTTCACCAGAACATCGCGCAACAAGATCTGGGGAATGAAGCCAGTGCCAAGGTCATTGGCTTGGAAGACTTTCAAAAGATCCTCTCTCCCCTCCATGGAGAAATGGCCAAGCAAAGGAGCAGCAAGTCCAGCCAGAAGCAGCTTGAGCAAGGGGAAATTGTCAAGGAACAGGAAAGGAATTTGCACTGATGCACTTCCTGAATCAAAGGAACCGGACAAAAAAAAACATCAAGGTCGGATTTGTTCACTCAACAAGCAGGACAAAATGTTCTTCAGCCAAATCAAGTGTTCATGTTCCTTGCACATTGCTTTTTCAATTGTGCAAAACCTGCTAGCTTCACTAGCTTCCAATGTTCAAAGGAGATCTTTAAGCTGGCCTCACCGGCCACGCCGTATCACTTTCATGCGCTGCTTCTTGGAAAGCCGCACGGCTCCAGAAGGCCGAGGTGGCCGCCGCAAACGTTCCTGGCATCCAAAGGTCAACTCCGCACCTATGCGGGACCAAGGTCAGCTGTGTTTTGAATCGAAAATGAATGGTCTACAAAAGAGATGAACCAAAAGATGGTCAGGAGGCTCAAGAGGCTTATCTCTTTCATCTCTTGTTTAAGGTGCGTCCTTCTGTCATGCGGGAGTCCCAAGGTGGACAACCTTGCAAAGCCTTTGCTTTGAAGCTACGCACTGCTTCTTTGAAGCTACCGTCCTGCATCTGCTGAAAGAGACCCCAAAGGGCACGGTGAGGAGCCTGGCTTGAAATCTTCCAGAAACGATGTCAACCTTGACACGCAATCGACAAAACAGTACGTAAATCCTCACAATCGACAAAACAGAAGAATGCGGCCTGCAATTGGAGCAGGACCAACCACAACCATATGCCACAATGTAAGTTTGGTGCTACACTTGGCGGATTCCAGCAAAAACAACACTATATATACCAGCATCATCGTCGGCAACAGTTTCAGCAGGTCTCTTTGTGTCAGCTCCTGGAAGTCAAATGTCGGTGGAAACATCTCTATATATTTTCCTATAGCCTATAGCCTTCAACTGCTTGAGAACGCATGTACACATACGTAAGCCAAAGGCGATTTCTTGAAAACTGGATGATATCAAATTTAAAACGCATCACTGCTGCATTCGTAGCCACAAAAATTCAAAACCACCCGGACAAGGCGGTGGAGAAAGGGAAATGGCGAGGCCAAGCAGGAGTGATATATAAGAGGGCTGACAAGGCCAAAGCAGAGAAGAAAGGGCCCCAACAAGCCTGGACAAGGCCAGGACAAGGCAGTGAAGGAAGGGTGGACGGCGCAGCCCGGCTATCATGGCCAACCCTTTTTCCTAGCACAGGACCCCAACAGTAAACTGTTGGGGACAAAAGAGACTGGTCTATTTTGAACAAAGAACAAAGTCTCAGACTGGTAAGGCACGTGCAAGTGCCAGCAGGACCTTCTGCTTTCCCATTTCAGCGGTGTCATCGTCTTCCTCTAGCAGGAGATCTGCCTGGCAAAACCCTTCAGCATGTGCAGTTTTTGGCCACCCCAAACAATGTACAGCGGCATTGTTCATTGCGTCACAAACCACTTGGTTTGCAATATGGTCGCCCCACAAACACACAGACTTATTGAATTGCGTACGGATGTGAATGCCACTCGCCACACGGCAACGTAAGGGACCAGATTCCTGAGAGGAACATAGAAACCTGTGAATCCTGGAGGTCTTCTAACGAAGAGGAGGCCAAAAGCGCAAATGCCCGAATCGACGAAACGACCGGCTGACGGCGGTCGTGCCTGACTGCGGATTTCAGTAAAAGTTCAAATTAGCGGCTGCAATCTTTGGAGAAGGGTTTTGGGGAATTATCATGACTCACCATGAAAACAAAGAACAGGAGAGTGTTATCACTCGCAGGTACACAGGGCTGATCAGGCCCTGCTTCCCACACTCGCCCACAGCTTCGTTGCGTGTGGTAGGGTGAGAGTGCCCCACGCCCCTGCAGCAAAAAACAAGTTGGGTGCCTCCCTAAATTCAATGCAGAATCACTTTTTGGTAAGCCACGGGCAGTGACTTCCCTTTGACTCGTTCGGTCAAACTCCCTCAAGCAAATGATTTACCGGTTCCCCACTCCGACCGACGGGTTCCGCTCTCTCCCGCACAGCGGCCGCGGCGGCCCCCTGCTGAAACAAGGGGTTGTACCTGAGCGTTGCATCCAGGAACACACCCAAAAAATTGCAAAGAAGGAAGAGGGGAGAGGGACAGGGAGGAAAGAGGATTAAGGCCCCCGACAGGTTCCAATGAACGTTAAGTAGCTTTGGCCGCTGCGGCCACGTACGCCGTGCCAAAATGGCTGGCTGCTCTGACCGCTGCGGTCACCTAATGGCTTGTCCGAAGTCTGCCTACTTGGACCTCAATAATCCGTCAGGTCTTGGCAAGTAACT